TGATGAAGGTACTCGCAACAGTGATATTTCTTCACTGCCTTCATTTTCTATGAGTTCTCTCTTCTGTGTTATAGAAAACAGCCTCTTTTGTAAAAATTAGCTAAGTGTGAGGATTCCCTATAATAGAAATCCTTACCTGGAATTTGGAATGCCTCTCTTTTTAAGCTTTAACCTCACTTCTGTAAAGCTGTGTTAAAAAACCATGTCTTTCATAAGACATGGTTTTTATTAAAAAGTACAATGTATCTACGCTTTTTAAGAAGAAAAAGAACGTTAGAAACAGTAACGGGATTTGGACTCATGTCTGTTGAAAGCAAGTGAATTCTGAGCAGAGAGGTGAGGAATTGCATCTCTAAGAATGGTGGAGAGAACTGTTTCATTTTCTTAACGTTGGGGAAATGGGAGATTTGTGAAGATTTTAAGTGTATTAACAGACTTTAATTAATTAATTAATTAATTAATTAATTAATTAATTTTGAGACGGAGTCTCGCTCTGTTGCCCAGGCTGGAATGCAGTGGTGCGATCTCGGCTCACTGCAAGCTCCGCCTCCTGGGTTCACGCCATTCTCCTGCCTCAGCCTCCCGAGTAGCTGGGACTACAGGCGCCCACCACCATGCCCGGCTAATTGTTTTGTATTCTTTTAGGCTGGGCACGGTGCTCACGCCTGTAATCCCAGCATTTTGGGAGGCCGAGGTGGGTGGATCACGAGGTCAGGAGATTGAGACCATCCTGGCTAACACAATGAAACCCCGTCTCCACTAAAAATACAGACTTTAATGTTTTTAAATAAAAGAAAAGGATGAGCTCTCAAAACCTTTAACTTGGAGGAGATAGGAAAAACCAGGAGAGGTGAATTCTCCTAATTATGTCAACAGTCAAAATTGACTAGTGCTATCTTCCCTGCAGGCCACAGGCCAAACTGGCCTCTATGCACCTGAGTAGGAATGACAACATCTTTGAAAACGGAGTGGCTCTCAAAGAAAGTCAAAAGGAACTTCTTTGACTAGGGAAAAAAATTAACACAGTATGTGTTAAAAGGCTTTTGTCTTCTTTTCTTCTCTTTCGTTTCTTTTTTGTTTTGCTTTTTTCTTTCGTTTAACCCAAGGCTATGAAATGCTCTTGCTCTGTGTAAAAATTAACAGGGAGCTTTTTATTTTGTGTTTTTACAATATTTCCATCTCTAAGACTAGAGCTCTCTGGCTTTTGGCTAACAGCATGTCCAGATTTACAGGCATCACAGGAAGAATGTCAATTTGCTCTAGAAGCAATTATACATACAGGATAGAAAAAACCCAATTCCACTATGTAAGGACCACACATACTGTATGTTTGTTATATTATTTGATATCAAAGCAGAAGCAGAACCATCAAATTCTTCCCAAAACACACATGAATTGAAGATCTTGGCTAAGGAACTGCCACATCCAATTCAGGAATATCTGTTACAGCTCACAGATCTCAGTAATGCTGACATTACTGTTTTGCAGGAAAGGGATACTTTCATTGGCTACATAATGCACTATGATTTTCTTAACTCTCTTGTCATAATATAAAGGTTCATATTATCAACGTAGGGCATTTAGATACCACATCACTAGAGTAATAGCTAGAAGAACTTGTCGACTTTTGTCACTAGGTGACCTCAAAATATTTAATCAAACATCAAGATTATTATCATAACTTCAGAGAGGTTAGTCTATCTTCTATAGACTAAGATAACTCTTCAGTTATCATCTCTGTTTCATTTCACATCGTTATGATGTTGGTGTGATGACTTCCATTCATTTTTAGCATACTTACTGAGTGTCTCTACTCAGTGCCAAACACAAGTGTAAGGAATACAGAGCTAATCGGGACATGACCCTTAGGAAATATATTCTTGGGGTGGGAAAAGGGAGATAGAAAATGAGCTTCATAAACCAGGATGGTGTATGCTAAATTTTATATAGCATATGTAAAGAAAAGAGTGGGAAAATAATTCAGCATATGATAGAGAAAAGAGGGTCAGGGAAGGTGAAATGTGAAGTCACTTTTAAATGGAAAGGGATAGTTTCTAGGGGAGGTTTGGGGATTGGGTCCTTCAGGAATAGGGAAGAGCATGGAAAAACCCTGAGAATATGAGAGACCAGAGTGCTGCAAACTGTCTGCTATTCCTAGAGCAGATCTGAGTATGAAGAAGGACCATGCCACGAAAGCTCTGCATACTATGACAAGAAGTTTGAACTTCATACCATGAGGTATATTTTTATATATTTCCCAAATACTCTGAAGATAAAATAATTAAAACAGTATGATGCTGATATAGCTATAGATAGATGAATGAATGAAACAGAATAGGAAATGGACAATCAAAATGGAAAATTAGAGGGTATATGTGTAGAAGTTTAATATGTGAAAAAGGCAGCATTGGCTGGGTGTGGTGGTTCACACTTGTAATCCTAGCACTTTGGGAGGCCGAGACAAGTGGATCACTTGAAGTCAGGAGTTTGAGATCAGCCTGGCCAACATGGTGAGGCCCTGTCTCTACTAAAAATACAATAATTAGCTGGGCGTGGTGGCGGGCACCTGTAATCCCAGCTACTTGGGAGGCTAACGCAGGAGAATTACTTGAACCCAGGAGGCGGAGGTTGCAGTGAGCTGAGATTGTGTCACTGCGCTGCAGCCTGTGCAATAGAGTGAGAGTTCATCTCAAAAAAAAAAAAAAAAAAAAAACCCAAAAACAAAACAAAACAAAAAAAGGCAGCATTTCCAATTAGTGAGTAAAGGATAGATTTTTTTCAGCAGGTGGTGTTCGGACAATTGACTGACCATTTCAAAATGAAATTTAATTTCTGTATACCACACTGCACATTAAAAATTATCAACTGGATTAAAAATTGTAATGTAAAAAACTACCAGAAGAAAATATTTATAATCTTGGGGCTAGAGAATTTTTTTTAATGCGACATCATTAGATACCAGGATGGAAAAGATAGATAATATAAAATTACAATCTTTAAAAATCACAAACTTCTGAAAGGTATAAGACACTATAGGTAAGACAAATGACAAGTTGGAAAAATTGTTTACAGTCTACATAATAGTCAAATGATTAGTATCTATAATACATAATAAGCGCCTACAAATCAATTTTTTAAAAAATCTAATCTAAGAGAAATGGATAAAGGACACAAAATAGGCAATTCGCAAAAGAAATGATGCCTAATGATATGAAAGTATGCTTAATCCCTAAAACATTCAAAGGAATGCACTTAGGACAGTTCTATTTTTCATTGGTCAGATGGTAAACGGGAGATACATATCAGTGACAGATATACCAAATAATGATTTATAATGTGTTTGAGAGTGTGTGAAGAAATAAGAAGTTTCAAATCTTAAGGGTATAAAATCAGTACATACTTTTTGGAAGGTAATTTGTCAACATCTCTCATATAAAACATGCATATCATTTGATCCTGCAAGTCCACAGCTAACAATGTACTTTATTGTACTAATATATTAAAACTATAAAAATATGTAAAAGTTATATAAATATATATGTCAATATATCAAAATATACTATATATTAAAATATATAAATAGATACAAATGTGCAAAGATAGTATGAAAATATTTATTGCACTATTGTTTATAATAGCAAGAATTTGGAAGCAACCTAAAGGTCTACCATAGAGATTAATAAATTGCAACATATAGATAAAATAAATTACTATGTTGTTAAAGAGAATATACTGGCATGGAAAGATATCCATAATACGAGTTTAACTGAAATAAATGATTAGCAGAATAGTATTTATAGTGTAACCTGGCAAGACAAGTAGTGATCTACAGCAGTTAAGAGCATGGGTTTTAGGGTCAAGCAGACCTAGATTTGATTCCCAGCTCCACTACTCATCAGAAATGTGAAACTTACTAACTTCTTTGAGCCTTCTTTATCTGTCCAATTGGAATGGAACCCAACAGAACCTACATAATACAGTTGTAAGAAGAATCCCTACTACATAATAGAAGCTAAATATATACTAGTTATTATTATTCCTGTTACATATTTGAAAGATTATTTTTTCAACAATTTTCTTATAAAAACAACTTCCAAAAGCAAATACAATATTCTTTGAAAAATTATACTGGGTAGTTTAAAATTTTTTTTTTATTATACGTCAAATTCTAGGATACATGTGAGGAACGTGCAGGTTTGTTACATAGGTAGACACATGCCATGGTGGTTTACTGCACCCACCAACCAGTCATCTACATTAGGTATTTCTCCTAATGCTATCCCTCCCCTAGTCCCTCACTTCCAATAGACATGTGCACACATATGTTTATTGGAAACAGTTTTTAACTGAATCTAACACATTGAACATAATTTTAGCCTATATAAATAAATATTCTATTTATTTGATCATTTAATAGATCAGATAATTAATTGGATGCATCGATTTTTTTTTTTAAGACAGTCTTGCTTAAAGACACTATCGCCCAGGCTATAGTGCAGTGGCGCAATCCTAACTCACTGCAACCTGCACCTCTCGGGCTCAAGCAATCCTCCCACCTAAGCCTCCCAAGTAGCTGGAACTACAGGTATGAGCCACTGCTTCCAGCCTTGATGCATCAATTTTTGATACAGATCTGTTTTATTTGCATATTCATAAACTAGAGTGTGAATGGGGAATGAATTTGGACATTATATTACAGTACCAAAATAAAGAACTATTGAGTTTAGAGAGCCCCAGTTATAAAAACTTTAAACAACCCTAGTGGCATAAATTAAAAATTGTCCTCTAGTCATTAAACTACTTATTAATATCTTTTTGTGGTAGTTTCCATTATATAAACATTCAGTTTTCAATCACGTTATTAGGAAAAGCATAACAAAGTAGAAAGTTACCCTTTTAAGTATTTTGCCCCTAGTAAGACTAGGAAAATAAACCATTCAAAATGAGAAAACATGTTAAGTAAAAACATATTAAAATGGCTATATGAAGAATATACATACCCTTCCATTTGGAAAATCATTTGAAAGCTGTCTACCAAGCTTTTATAACTGTTTGGATCAGTTGCACATCTCTGAATCTGAAACCTAGAAGGAAAATCAAACCAAAAACTCTAAGTTAAAGATTTTGCCAAATGGCTTTTCTCATTTTTTAAAGTCTTAGAAACAGCTTTTCAGATTAATCTAGAATATTCTGCTTTGGTATGGATTTTATTCATTTATTAGCATTACATAATCTTCACCTTATTTTCATAGCCTTTAAAATTACATTTCTCTGTAATTTAATGAAATCTATAGAAAAAATGTATTTTTTTTAAATTTTTTTATTATTATACTTTAAGTTCTAGGGTACATGTGCATAACGGGCAGGTTTGTTACATATATATACTTGTGCCATGTTGGTGTGCTGCATCCATCAACTCGTCAGCACCCATCAACTCGTCATTTACATCAGGTATAACTC